ATCAACGTTCTTTTATCAATAATAACACCGCAGATTGTCCTCTGGTTAGTTATCCAAAAGGCTATCCCAGTGACGAGGAGCAGGAGAAAACCAGCCAAGAAATTCCAGGACCAATGCACCACGTATCCCCAAGCTCAAACCACTATCACTTTCGATCCACTAAAATACCAAAGGCATGAGAGCCATTACATTTTAATAAGATCCAGACGAAGCTTTCATGCAGCTACCACTGAAGCCCATATCCCACCAAACGTTCTAAGGACGCAGCACCTCAAACTATTCGACGCCTCAGCTGCAGCCACCACGGCAGGCATCTCTTCCTTTTAATAGACCCTCCACCCCCACACACACGCACATTTCAAAACGCATCTTGCCTCCAGAAAAAGAAACATCAGCTTGCATCTAGCCAGCACTCTCACAATGTTGAGCTCTGACAGACGAGTTGTGCGTCGGTGTTGTCTTGGTGAATGTGGGTGTTAACCTTTTGGTGTAGCACTTGGTCGAAAGGTGTTGTATCGGCCATCCTGACTACTTCTTCTATGAATATAATATGATACACATGTTTGTGCGTATTCTAGAAAAAGCTCTGCCAGGAAGAACGGCAGCATAGACAAGGAGCTGCAGCTGCAAGCGATCAACAACACGAGCAAGTATCTGCAGACGATACTTTCATATACCCGCCAGGACAGAGTGCCTTTGTCTTGTGGCTACAATCCTTTTTTTTCGAGATAAAAATAATATCCTTGCTAAGTTAATTATTACAATAACCCTTTCAAAAATAACTTATTAAATGCAATAAGGTTGGCAGAAAAATCAAATCAAGAAGAAAAGAAGTTTGGATACTAAATGGGGTCAGCCTTTTCCTTCAAGGGATGGCGAAGTCCACGTCACCGACTCATGAACTCTTTCATTTGACCAAGTTAATATATATCCTGAGCCCTGACTTGCTAAGTGCACCAGAAAGGGAACCCTCTCCAGTTCGCTAGCTGTAGTCTGATGAGCAAACTAAAATCAATCAGCTAAAAACAAAAGGGCAATATATGTTTTATGATTTTGACTAAATAAATGAAAGACACAAGTTTTTTGTGAAAACAAACCAAATGTATTATAAATGTTCATTAGAAGTACAACGCACTCAAAACATAATAAAAATGACATCAAGATCCTGGATCACCACCGAATGACCACTACCATCGTCGGAACGAAGCCGACGCACTGATGTGGCCGCTCCCATACCAGAGCCGATCTAGCTTTGTCAATGACAGCCGAAAAATCACGTAGGACAAAAGTTAGACCAACAAACTAATCACTTCGCCGAAACCACCATGCAAATCAGGCGTACGTCTAGTTCCATGATGAATCTTGGGGCGTACGTCTACTACAACAACGTGTATGACTCTGCCACATTTCTTTTCATTTTTTTTCTCTTGTCGCATGCAAAGGTTCATCTAAAGAAACATTTCAGTTTACAAATATATTTTGTTGTAATTTGCAGCCCGTCTGTTCAAGTTGCTGGCCCTGGGATGCTCATTGACCACAAGTGGACAGAGATACTTAAGAGAAGGACATTATTAAACCCATTAAGCTACACGGGAAAGGCGGCCAACCAGCTATGCCACGTGGCGCAAGCTAGTTGGCCGCGGTGAGAACTTTTTTATAATTTTTCTCGATGAATGTGTAGATTTTTTATATGTATTTTATTCTTTTTAGATGGAGGTGAGGAGCTCTGGTATTTTTTAAATGGAGGGTTATACAAAGTGACACTCGCTGGTAAGCTACAGTGGTAATTTTTTTCTTCTTTACTTTTTTTTAGATGAAGGCGAGGATTTTTTTCTGAGAAAAAATGAATATGTGCGCACAACTTCCTCTTAAGCGGCGCCACAGGGTGGCGCCCCAACCACTAGTTTATATGTAGGTGCTGCGTCTCTCTGGACATTTGGGTTCCTCAGTACATATGCAGCAGTTGCCACTTTCCCCATAAATCATTAATGAATTAACAGATTTGTGTCAAATTGTCATTATCAGGGAAGCATTTGAGGATTTTGATCTCAACGTGCTGGCGAAGATGAATGCCAACGACATTGCCGCGATCAGCGGTAGTTAGGAGCTCAAGCTAGTGGAGTGCAGAGTGCAGAGTGCGGTGCATCCTGGAGAACGCTAAGTGCATAAGAAAGGCGAGCACATCAGGATTTTTGTTTATTTCTAGTGAAATTCTTCTACAAAGATATTACAATGGCGAAAAAAGTTGGCTAAATAATTAAGGGAACAATGACATGGTGATATAAACCGACCAACTTTAGAAACTCATGACATAAAAATTCATGACCATTCTATGCATGTGCAGGTGCCGAAGGAGTTTGGGTCTTTCGGTGGGTACATCTAGGGGCACATCTAGAGGCGCGCACTGAGAAGCTCTGCTACAGCCCAGGCCCGATGCCGCAGCAGCTGAGGCGGTGCTCGTGTCTGGAGCGATATGTTAGAGGCCTGGCGGTGTTTGAGATCCACGTCGATCTCGTTAGGTAGATTTAGAGTAGTTTAGTCAAGTTCTGTATAAATTTGAAGTAAAATTTGATGTAATATGTTGAAATTATGCTTTGAATCATTTGAAAGTCCAGACACCAGGAAAAGATTTAGGGGCTAGCATTAGGCGCGAGTCTTGGGCCCTTGGCGGGCGTCTGCTAGCCCCTAGAGGAAGGGCTACTGTTGAAGATGCCCTTAGTCACTTGATGAAAGTAGCCAATGTTACTGTAAAGTTGAAAATATGGTCGGGTGATCTATGACAAAGACGAGTGGGATAATATTGGCCATGGAGCCGAACGCATGCTGCAGATGTAATGTTGATGTCCAAATGAAGCAAATCTATGATGCAGTTGATGTTTAAACCAACAGTATTTTCTAGTGGCTAAACTATCAAGAGGCTCTAGTATATGGATGATCCATAAACTAGGCAGGTGTTTGTTACGATGTCTATGAAATTAATAACCACCTAAAAAGCTGTTCGGTGACAAAGAAAAGCAGGATGAAATTAGCCTTGCAATTCAGGAAGAACTGTAGCAAGTGTACTATGCTTAAACTACCTCCAATTGTTGGTGACTAAAATAACAGGGCAATGTCTCTCATCCAAGTAGAACTACGGGAAAGGTGAGCATTGAAAAAGATCGGCAGAGGGAAGATAGCCACATGTAATCTTTGAATCGTCTGGATGTTTCACCAAACCTGGGAAGAAGATACATGGCTCTCAACGTTCCCTGCCTTCTACTGTATTTTTCAAGACACCAATTAGGCTATTTGCAAATCAGCAAAGTTACCAGACTGTGTCCCGGGTAAAGGACAAAAGGGGAATATATACTACTGTGAAAATCGTATGCTTGCAAGTATTGACAGTTCTGTATTTATGGAGTACATGTGATTGCCACCCAGTTAATTGTTTTGAGACGTTCCAAAAGGTGGCAACATCAAAATGTAAAGTGACAGAGATCGTTCTGCGGCAGCCACGCGTGTCCATCGGAGATGGTAAAAATGCTCAATTCTGGGAACGTCCGTGGCTAAATGGCCTTCAACCGAAAGACATCGCGCCTAAGATCTCAAGATATCAAAAAAAGAAAGAGTGTTTGGTCAGAAGGCTCTTGACAACATATTTTTGGTCCATCAGATCCATGCTCGAGTCATATCCAGGAGTTCACACTGAAATGCTGTCGTTTTTTATGGTGCAACTCCATCCGTCGGGGCTGTGATTGCTAGGGTCGAGAGCGAGTGTCCAGCGTGGAAATTTGCTGGCCTCCTGAAGGGTGATTTCACCCCCTTCCTAGGAGGATTAGCAAGGTGGGCTAGTGCGAGTAGTTAGCTAGCTTTTGACGGCCTACGGGCGTGGAGTTCTTGCATGTAATCTATTGTAAGAAGGTAATGTGGATGGGGCTCAACCCTCTCTCATTCTTTAATATACGGTACGCATACTTGTGCTTATTTTAGAAAAATAACTTGAAAATTTGCATCCAGTGCCGAATTCGATGTCCTTAGCGGACATGACGCAATTTGTTGGGCTCCCCTTTAGTCCTATGACTGCTACAATTTGGAAGATGTGGGCTCCGCTGAAATGCAAATTCTTTGCTTCGTTACTCCTCCAAAATCGTGTATGGACGGCTGATCGGTTGCACCGGCAGGGATAGCCAAACTATGGCCTTTCCCCTCTCTGCAAGCAAGTGCAAGAATCTGCTCCTCACCTCCTATTCCAATGTAGGCTCACTAACAGGATTTGGAACGAGATTTGCACTTGGCTAGGCATCCACGACTCCTTGCCAATGGCTTGGCGGCATGAAGACTGTTAAAGCTTGGTAGCTCAAGGCGGTGAATCGTGGAGGTTATAACCAGAAGGTCATTGCCTTTTTTATGATGCTTGTCTCATGGGAAATTTGAAAAGAGCAAAATATGATATATTTTTTTTGCAACACTGTAGCCTCGATCTCCCTTGTGGTCGCAAAAATAAAAAAGAAGGCATGTCTTTGGTGTTTGGTGGGAACCAAGCATTTGAGTGTTATAATGTTGCAAGAGTAGGCCCTTTTTTCTTTTGCTGCACTGCGTCTTATATGTAAGCATTCGCCTTAATCAATGAAAATGGCAAAGCCTTTGGACTTATTTTAAAAAAAAGTGTAAAGTGAAATTAGCTATTTTACTTGTACGTGGTTAGTTGGCTCGGGAAACATATCATGCATCCCCAATCTCAAACCACTAACACTTTCGACTCAATAAAATGCCAAAGCCAGGAGCCATTACATTTGAATAAGATTCAGATGAAGCTTTCATGCAGCTACCATTGAAGCTCATATCCCACCAAACTATCTAAGGACACGGCACCTCAAACACTTCCACGACTTGGCTGCCGGATATTCGCCTTATAATAGACCCCCCACCCCCCACACTCACATTTCAAAACCCATCTTGCCTCCAGACAAAGAACATTAGCTTCCATCTAGCCGCCATTATTCCTGACTACAACTCTCACAATGCTGAGCACCACGGCGCACCACAGCAGCAGGCAGACGCATGCTTTCGAGAAGAGCCCGAGCCGCAGCCGCCACGGCTCGGCCAGGAAGAACGGCAGCATAGACAGGAAGCTGCAGCTGCAGGCGATGAGCCACGCGAGCAAGTACCTGCAGCGGATGCTTGTGTGCCCGCCGGGGCTGGGCGGCGGCGTCCGGCGGAGCGGCTCCGGCCTCTCCCTGTCGTCGCTGTCGCTGTCGCAGAACTCGAGCGACTCGTCGCTGAGCAGCTCCAACTCCAGCAGCTGGGAGCCCAAGGTGCCGCTCATCTACGGCGGCACTTTCAGCCCGTGGGGCGACGTGCTCGTGTCCCTGGAGAAGAGGAGGGGAGACGACTGCGACGACGACGACGACAAGGTGAGCGGCCGTGATGCGGAGGAGGAGGAGGATTTTGATTGCAGTGAGCCCGGGGGCCTGCACAGATGCAGCTGGATCACCAAGAACAGTGGTGAGGATTGAGAAATGCTTAATTACTTGCCAGTAATATTTTTCCCTGCCAAGAAAGTGTACTGCTAATATTTGTTTTCATGCATATATATATTTTTTCGACTATGGAAGACTCCAAGAAACCATAGTCAAAAGAATATATTTTTTACGTGCAAGAACAACGGTTTCTTGTAAGGGGGAGCAGAGAATGAAAAGTCAATGGCGAAAAGTACAATTAGTTAATTAGCTTTGCACCAACTTATATGTACAATAACCCTGTCAAAAAAACTTACTAGTACAATAAGGTAGATCAAATTAAGAAGAAAAGAAGTTTGGACAGCAAATGGGGTCTGCCTTTTCCTTCAAGGGATGGTGAAGTCCACATCACTTACTGATGAAACTCTTGATTTGACCAAGCTAATATATGTCCTGAGCCCTGGCTTGCTGTTGCCTTGAAAACAAAGTTCAGTTGATAAGCTCACCAGAAAGGGACTCCTCTCCAGTCCCCTCTAGTCTGCTGAGCAAACTAAAATCAACCAGCTAAAAACAAAAAGGACAATATATATTTTATTCTTTTGACTAAACGAAGGACAAAATTTAGATCAGCAAACTGATCACTTGCCTCAAATCCACCTTGCAGATGAGGCGTATATCCAGTTCCACGACGAATCCTGGGGCGTTCCAGTCTACAGCGACGAGTACGACTCTGCCACATTTCTTCTCTCTTTTTTTGCCTGTCGCATGCAAAAGCTCATCTTGAAAAATCGAAAAAAAGAATCATTCCGTTTACAAATATATTCTGTTGTAATTTCCAGCCGCCTGTTTGAGCTGCTCACCCTGTCAGGGATGCTCATAGACCACAACTGGACAGAGATACTCAAGAGGAGGGACATGTACATGTAGGTGCAGCGTCTTTCCGAACATTTGGGTTTCTCAGTACATATGCAGCACTTGTCACTTTCCCTGTGAATCATGAATGGGTTAACAAAACTGTGGCAAATTTGACGATTTCAGGGAAGCATTTGTGGGCTTCGACCCCAATGTGGTGGCGAAGATGAACGAGGATGACATCGCCGTGATCAGCGCCAATAAGGAGCTCAAGCTAGCGGAGTGCAGGGTGCGGTGCATCGTCGAGAACGCTAAGTGCATAAGAAAGGCGAGTGCACTAAGATTTCTGCTTATTTCTGGCGAAATTCTTCTAACAAAGATATTACAAGGACAGGAAAAGTTTGCAATGAAATGAGGGAAGAATGACATGCAGATGCCATGGATGTGTCAATATGAACTGAACAAATTTAGCCGTGAAGCATTGGATAAAAACTTATGACCATTGTATGCATGTGCAGGTGGCGAAGGAGTTTGGGTCTTTCAGCGGGTACATCTGGGGGCACATGAACCACCGGCCTATGGTAGGTAAATACAAGCACCACAAGTACATCCCGCTCCGAACACCCAAGTCAGAAGGGATGAGCAAGGACCTAATCCGGCGGGGGTTCCGGCTCGTTGGTCCTGTCATAGTCTACTCCTTCATGCAAGCCTCTGGCATGGTCATCGATCACCTCGTCGGCTGCTTTCGGTTCTCTGAGTGTGTCCGCCTTGCTGAGCAGTCTTGGGGTATCTCAAATGTCGCCACGTAGACGCCCAAGCACTCCAGTCTCGAACTTTGACATTACAGCGTTTGCTTCACAATAACCTTTTTCCCCTAAAATACGCAAGAGCTGCGTATCCTTTATTTATTTGTTTTTTGATTAGTAATGTATGGGTTGTAAATTATGTGTGGTAGACTACTAAGTTATGTTTTTCCCCTACTTGTGGTAGTGTGACTGGTATGTAAGTTGCTATGGTTAAGTTTTTTTTTTTTGAACAAGTTAAGATTATCTCCTTTTTGTTTGGGCCTAAGTAAGGCCATGTATGATTAAGGAGCCCACAAATCCAGCGTTGAACAAATTGTCCATGATTTTATATGTAACTAGTTGAATGCCCGTGCTGCCATCTAATAACAAAAAATGTATATAAACACATTGATAAAAAAATTCTAATAAATGTGTCGACATGAGGGTATGCGATTCCATTCAGATAAGGAATAAAATACCAACTCTCTCTCCCACTTTTTTCCTTCTCGACGGTCATCGTATCTTTCTAGCCACCATCTCCTTGCAAGAATACAAGGGATATATTCCTTCCCACCCCTCCCTCCCCCTTCATTTTCATTCCATTCATTCGCATGTGCTTTGGCGCATTATCGCCGCTTCAAAAGTCCTTCATCTCGCCTCACCATCGCTTGATCATTTCTTGACTTCAGCAAATGTCTAGAATGGTCCATCTGAATCGCAAGAGATGATGGTGCATTACAAGTCTCATATATACAAATAAAGGGATTCTTACCAACCATGAGCATTGATAGCGTATTAGTGTCATATTTACAAATAACAAGATAAGCACATAGTGCAATGACAAACGTTTATCTCTCCTCGTCCTTTGGTGATAACAAAGATAATGCTTTTGTGAAAGCTTGTTTGAGATCTTAGGCATGTTTAGTTTAAGAACCAAATAGAATGTAATGGAACTATTTGACCGTGGAATGGAATGGTTCCGTCCTAGCATTTGGTTCAGAGAGAACATTATAAACGGAATGGTTTTGTGTTGTGTTTGGTTGGAGGGGTTGTATGGAATGGCTACCATTCATAGTAGGTTGCGGAGGGGGTAGTTGTGGCATCGTGGAGCTTCAACTCATCGGTAATGGGGAGTATTAAGTAACAAATAAAGCATTGCGTTAAGTAAGTTGACATAATGTTGGTAATAATATTCCCCACACCCTAGCTCCTCGTTGGGATAACGTCAACTTTCCTTTTATCCTTACCGACGCAAATACAATTACAAGATATGTTTTCTCTTGCTATGACCAAAATACTCCACGTATAAAGATTTACCACATATAATGCACACCACTCCCACTAAATTTTCTTCTAAACGAACTTATGATTAGACCAAATTGGAGAGGAATATACATCGATTATAAATAAAGCATGATATATAATCTGATCATAAAGTAATAATTCATCACACAACAAAAGACAACTGCCAAAATTACATCATTCAGATCACAATCATGTTATGCAGCTTGTGTGATCTTTCTATTGAAGCATGGGAGAGAAAATGCTACAACACTCCTGCTACAAACCTGTAGTCCAATGGTAAACTACTCACACATTAGAGCATCTCCAGCCGTTGGCCCCCCAGGAGGGGCTAAAAATCGCCCCCTGGGGGCGCACCAGCACTAAATCGTGCACTGGGGGCGTGATGCCCCCCAGTCGCGGCGCCCACGTTTTTTTGAAAAAGTCAAATAAGGCGCAAACACGGCTCAAATTTAACGCAAACATCGACGAGTTCATTCAAATTTAAACATATTTTACAAAAAAAGAAAAAAAACTAGCACGGGCTGCCCCCGCCGTCTCCATCGCCGCTCCTCGCCGTCTACCTCGCCGCCCGCCGCCCGCCGCCCGCCTTTGCAGTTCTACATGCCGAGGAGGCGGTAGAACCGCGTGTAGTCGCCGCCGCCGTCGTCGTCGTCGTCGTCTCCGCCGCCGCCGTCCCTGCTGCATCCCTCCCCCGGTTGGCGCGGCGGGTTGGACGGTCCGGGGGCATCGTCGTCGTCATCGCTGTCGAGGACCACGATGTCGTGCTCGTCCTCGCGCCCACGCTTGCGGGCGGCGATCTCCTCCAGGGCCCGGCGCTGCCGGACCATCTCGTCGCGGAGGTAGTCGTCCCGCGCCCACCGCAAGGCGTCCTCGTCGGATAAACCGCGTCGGGCTATCTCCTCGTACTCCGCGGGGAGGCCGAGCTCCGGCTTGGGCTCGACGAGGATGAAGCGGCCGGTGGGGGTGCAGAGTCGCCGATGCGAACGCCGGAGCTGCGGGTGTGCACGCTGACAGGCGTGTCCTGGGGCTCCGGCTTTACGGGGTGGAGGCAGGGAGAGCCCGACGAGCGGCCGGACGAGGAGGAGGACGCCTCGGGCCGCTCCATGCGCCTAGGCGTCCAGGAGCTTCCACGGCAGCGTGAGAAGGACGGGGGAGCGGGGTACTCGAGGCGCGGCGTGTTGCCGCCCTCGATGTACTCGAGGACGGCCTCCAACGTGCGGTCGGGCATGCCCCACCACCGGCGCCGGCCCTTGGAGTTGAGCCTGCCAGAGGGTACGACGCCGTTGGTGGCCTCGAGCTGCTCGGCGTGACGGCGGCGGAAGTAGGGCTCCCAGAGCGAGCTGTCGGGGACGTACCGTGGCCCCTCCCTCGCCCCCCGCGGCAGGGACGCGTGGATACGTGCGATCTCCGCACGCCGCGCCACCCCGGTGGGTGGTGGTGGCACCGGCATGCCGCCGGCGCTGATCCTCCAAGCCCCGGGCACCCCCATGTCCGGCGGGACCGGGTACTCGTGAAGGAAATACGCCCTAGAGGCAATAATAAAGTCATTATTTATTTCCTTATATCATGATAAATGTTTATTATTCATGCTAGAATTGTATTAACCGGAAACATAATACATGTGTGAATACACAGACAAACAGTATGTCACTAGTATGCCTCTACTTGACTAGCTCGTTGAATCAAAGATGGTTAAGTTTCCTAGCCATAGACATGAGTTGTCATTTGATTAACGGAATCACATCATTAGAGAATGATGTGATTGACTTGACCCATTCCGTTAGCATAGCACTTGATCGTTTAGTTTGTTGCTATTGCTTTCTTCATGACTTATACATGTTCCTATGACTATGAGATTATGCAACTCCCGTTTACTGGAGGAACACTTTGTGTGGTACCAAATGTCACAACGTAACTGGGTGATTATAAAGGTGCTCTACAGGTGTCTCCGAAGGTACTTGTTGGGTTGGCGTATTTCGAGATTAGGATTTGTCACTCTGATTGTCGGAGAGGTATCTCTAGGCCCATTCGGTAATGCACATCACTATAAGCCTTGCAAGCATTGCAACTAATGAGTTAGTTACGGGGTGATGTATTACGGAACGAGTAAAGAGACTTGCCGGTAACGAGATTGAACTAGGTATTGAGATACTGACAATCGAAAGATCTTCGTAGGTGCAAGTAACATACCGATGACAAAGGGAACAACGTATGTTGTTATGCGGTTTGACCGATAAAGATCTTCGTAGAATATGTAGGAGCCAATATGAGCATCCAGGTTCCGCTATTGGCTATTGACCGGAGATGTGTCTCGGTCATGTCTACATAGTTCTCGAACCCGTAGGGTCCGCACGCTTAAAGTTCGATGACGGTTATATTATGAGTTTATGTGTTTTTATGTACTGAAGGAGTTCGGAGTCCCGGATGAGATCGGAGACATGACGAGGAGTCTCGAAATGGTCGAGACGTAAAGATCGATATATTGGACGACTATATTCGGACATCGGAAAGGTTCCGAGTGATTCGGGTATATTTTTGGGAGTACCGGGGAGTTACGGGAATTCGTATTGGGCCTTAATGGGCCATACGGGAAAGGAAAGAAAGGCCTCAAAGGGTGGCCGCACCCCTCCCCATGGGCTGGTCCGAATTGGACTAGGGAGGGGGGCACCCCCTTCCTTCCTTCTCCTTTTCCCTTCCCTTTCCTTCCCTCCTACTCCTACTACATGGAAGGGCTCCTAGTTCTACTAGGAAAAGGGGAATCCTAATCCCGGTGGGAGTAGGACTCCCCTAGGGCGCGCAATAAATAGGGCCGGCCCTCCCCCTCCTCCACTCCTTTATATACGAGGGCAGGGGGCACCCCAAAGACACAACAATTGATCTCTTGATCTCTTAGCCGTGTGCGGTGCCCCCCTCCACCATAATCCACCTCGATCATATCGTAGCGGTGCTTAGGCGAAGCCCTGCGTCGGTAGAACATCATCGTCACCACGCCGTCGTGCTGACGAAACTCTCCCTCAACACTCGGCTGGATCGTAGTCCGAGGGACATCATCGAGTTGAACATGTGCAGAACTCGGAGGTGCCGTGTGTTCGGTACTTAATCGGTCGGATCGTGAAGACATACGACTACATCAACCGCGTTGTGATAACTCTTCCGATTTCAGTCTACGAGGGTACATAGACAACACTCTCCCTCTCGTTGCTATGCATCACCATGATCTTGCGTCTGCGTAGGAAATTTTTTGAAATTACTACGTTCCCCAACAATGGCATCCGAGCCAGGTTTTATGCGTTGATGTTATATGCACGAGTAGAACACAAGTGAGTTGTGGGCGATACAAGTCATACTGCTTAACAGCATGTCATACTTTGGTTCGGCGGTATTATTGGATGAAGCGGTCCGGACCGACATTACGCGTATGCTTACGCGAGACTGGTTCTACCGATGTGCTTTGCACACAGGTGGCTGGCGGGTGTCAGTTTCTCCAACTTTAGTTGAATCAAGTATGGCTACGCCCGGTCCTTGAGAAGGTTAAAACAGCACTAACTTGTCGAACTATTGTTGTGGTTTTGATGTGTAGGTAAGAACGATTCTTGCTCGGCCCATAGCAGCCACGTAAAACTTGCAACAACAAAGTAGATGACGTCTAACTTGTTTTTGCAGGGCATGTTGTGATGTGATATGGTCAAGACGTGATGATATATAAGTTGTTGTATGAG